TGTTGATTTTCAATGGACCGATTTACACCTTGTTACATATGTCAGCTCAAACATTCGAATTTATTATACATTGTAATTGATGTCATTCTTTTGAAGCTTTACCGGACCCAATATTTTTACTTCTTGTGTTAATTTGTAATAGTGTTGCTGTATAATTTTGTGCTATTTAATTTCCTGTCTTTAAAAATTGATTGATTATTGAATATTAAAAACGATTGTGATTAAGATATATAAGATTTAAGACGCTTTTTAAGTATCCTTTGTCGAACAAACTGAAAACATTGGAAATGGATGCATAATTTTTGTGACGTTATCATAATTGATAAAAGTTTGTCTTGAACATGTTTCATCGGACACAACGTGAAGTATCGGAGACTCAAGCCGTGTGAACAATAGGCCATGAAACGTGAAGTATCGGAGACTTAAGCCGTGTGAACAATAGGCCGTGAAACGTGAAGTATCGGAGACTCAAGCCGTGTGAACAATAGGCCGTGAAACGTGAAGTATCGGAGACTCAAGCCGTGTGAACAATAGGCCGTGAAACGTGAAGTATCGGAGACTCAAGCCGTGTGAACAATAGGCCGTGAACAGGATTTCTGACCAGGCCTGGAGTCTATACAGAAAGTAAACATAAACAGTGAGCGATAAACTCCGCTGTACACAAAACGTGAAAACACAATAATCACGCACGCGCACGTTAATTAATATAAATGCAATTTTTGACTCAGCACGTTGTTTATAATATAGGGTGCTACATAAATATCATATGTTATCTTTTATCGTTAATAGACATTCAGATGACTATTCAGATGACTTAGCTTTGTTTAACGAAATATTTCTATACAATATGTTAATACAATATACCTGTAAACGTAAATCTTAATGTAAAATCATTATAAGTTGAAACATCGGAGCCGAGAAAGATTTAGGGCGTTATATAAATGCCCTGTGAATCATCTAATCGTAGCAAGCCCTTACATTGCAATTGTGCTAAATTAATAGCGAAAATGGATCAATGTGTGTGTTTATTGTATACCTGTGAACGAACACCCTGATGCTCGTTAGAGTGCTATGATCTATTACCAATGCTACACTATACAAAACAGCCAGCAGTGCCACTAAACATTTTCCTAATATCTAGCTTTTAACTTATCATCTAAATACTCATAAAACAATTCGTCAACGACTAGAAATAAACTACAAATTATCAAACAGATACTGAAAGAAAAGTTTGTATAATATTTGATTGTTCCGTTTCCATAAGAGGCCTAGTAGTCAGGTATAGTTTGGCAGGGAAACGTTCCGTTAATGTTTGTCTGTAAGAAGATAGGGGAAGCATTTTCTTGTCAGAAAACACCGTCTCTTTATAGCATCTTCCCATTATCTTATTACACTTAGGGAGACGTAGTCTGGATTCCCTGTCTTAGAGATTTTGTACGTTATACGAATCACTAGTAAAGTTGTGATATTTTTGCCAAGGCAAAACATGGAATCAATAACATTGGTTATTTTGTACTCTTTTTAGTACCTGAGATAGGGATTCCTCGATACTGTTAAACAAATCCATAGCTGACAGACTATACCTCATATGAGTAACATATCAATCATATCTTTACTTATAAATAACAGATCTAACAATCTCAATCGGCATTTCTTGGATAATGTGCTTTGTAGTTTTATGTAACACTGACATATGTGATTCATATACAAGACTGAAACTATTCATTGACGTATCAAAACATCGCACCTTTGTTACATATTGAACCATGTACAACTGAAAGTGACAGAGTACAGTGGATATACTCTAATGTATAAACACCACAGAAAACAATATCAGTCGGTACACACAGGACTCTGAATTACACAATTAAATGTGCATTGTGTAGTTAGCTGTCTGTGTACGGTTATTCAAGGTTTGTTAACTTAACGCATCGTTATCGGAAATTTTGAAAGTAGGATTTGAAGGAAACATCTGGAAATTTACAAATATTTTTTGTCTATATTGTCTACAGATCATCATCTTACATCCCTATAGATAATAATGCGCGTCACTTTGGGTTTGGATTTTGACATTTTTGAATATATATATCTGAGATCAAATATATTTTGCGATTGTTGTCACGAACCTAACCAGGCTGGTCCTGCTATGTACATTAGACCGATTCATCAGAGCTCGGCTTCGGTTAAGACATATTTCAATACAAATAGTATTTAAGTTAGTGTTAGAAAACAAAAAATGTACATGCAATTAACTCACTTATTATCTTATGTGTGTATTTGTGTGTGTGAAATTGAATCGGATTATTACAAGGGAATCTTTATCTCCAATACTGTTTTCTTTATTTGTCAACGACATGGAATCCGAATTGATTAAGTCAAATTGCCAAAGTTATCACTTGCAATTACTTAATTTATTTTTGATTATTAATTATGTATACCGATGACACGGTATCTTTTTCTGAGGATGTAGTTGACCTCCAAAATATGTTGGATTTTTTAATCACTTATTCTCGACGTTGGAATTTATCTGTAAATGTAGGCAAAACAAAAATAGTTGTTTTTAGGAAAAGTAAACGATTGTATCCGAACGAGCAGAGGATTTTTGATGGTAAAGCTATATAAGTGGTAGATCTATTTTGCTATTTAGGTTTGGTTTTTAATTAAAATGGTAAATTTACCATTGCATTGAATAACATTGCTGTACAAGGAAGGAAAGCTTATTTTCTTCTTACTCGGAAAGCGAAAAGATTTTTGTCGAATGAAAAGACCAAGTTATCTTTATTTGATACTTATATATCCTGTATTGTGTATTACGGGTGTGAAGTATGGGGTTATAGTCCTGCACCGCAGATTGAAAATATACATTTATTATTTTTGAAAACCTTATTGGGTGTCAGGAAAACAGTAAATAATGTCATGGTGTATTTTGGTCGTTGACCTTTGCATATACAGCGTAGGATTGCTATAGTAAAGTACTGGCTGCAAATATAAAAGATTGGTAACTGTATTTTGAGGGCCTGTTACGATGAACTTTTAGAGCTTTATAACAGGAAACCAAATTGTAAAGCAAATTGGGTTTATCATCTGAGACGTGATTTTTGTACGTTGGGTTTTGGAGATGTGTGGTTGGTACAATGTGTACCAAATGAGAAATCTTTTTTATTATTATATATACAACGCATAAGGGATACTTTTATTCAGGAAATGAAAAAGATATTCGAGACATCTTCAAAATGTTTGTTGTATAAACACATTGTTGAGCGTTTTGATCTACAATGGTATTTTACAAAACCGCTATTTAAAAACAAAAATGTATTTTTGCGAAATATAGATTGCAAGCACATAACCTTAATATAGAGACAGGTAGATATAATGCAGTGCCCCGAAACCAGAGATTGTGTACTTTATGTGATCTTGGAGAGGTCGAGGATGAGTTTCATTTCATTCTTATGTGTCCTGTATTTTTAGAATTAAGAGTATCGTATATCAAGCCATACTATCGTATTCGTCCTTCTGTGTTTAAATTAATAGAGCTACTGGCTAGCAAAAAAAATAAACTTATTAGAAATTTAAGTAAGTATTTGATTCAAGCAACTGTTAAGAGAAGTCATATATTATGAAATATAAGCTGTATCAAAGTCTTGCTATAAACGTTTTGTTACTGTATAATGCGATTGAGATCTATGTCTTTTACTTCACAATGAGTATATTCTCATTTCATTATATAATATATAGTAATCGTTCTACCTTCATATTGAGGTTGTATGATTGACTTTGAAGTTTTGTTATTTCCTAGAAATTTGGTTAGATTAGTCTTTATTTGTATTATTTCATAAACAACTAAATTATGCTTCATAAGAGTCCGCTAAGTTACCTTAGGAAATCTTAAAAGTTTTCCCCAACTTATGACTATTTTTTGAATTTGTAATTATTATGTAGGGAATTGAATCTATTGCATATGTTCTCCGACATTGTACAAGATATTTGAAAAGTAATTATCTGTATGTATATTTCTGTACGCCCATATGCAATGTGCATTTGGTAATAAATTGAATTGAATTGAATTGATTGAAATTGAGAGAAAAAAATGTCTATAAAGCACAAAGCAAAAAGTAAAATCAGTCTTATTAGAAGGGTGGTCTGTCGACACAGGCTGTAATTAATAGAACACCATTTCACATGATGTTATAAACAGGCGGTGTTATAGGCGGGTTTTAAAGGTTATTATGACTATAACCTTATTATATTTGTAGACCTTCGACATTAACGGTTAGTGTAAATACTGCCCGTCAGCTACCGATGTTATTGGAGGTTATTCTCCCAACGAGACATTATTCCCCACGGAAGACAAGATTTGATTATTTTCCCGTTAAAAGATATATTAATCGCCCATTTCTTTAGGATTGTCTAGCGAGCTTACTGTTTAGAGCTTCGTATACGAGGAAGACGAAGCAACGAACTATTCTTCACTCAACCCTAATCTATCAACAATGGCAGAAAATCTGTCCAGTCTTTGCATGGTCAAGTCTATACATTGTTTTATGTATTGTAAATTCAGTGGTAAGTCTATAAGTGTATCAACGTGTTGTAACCCATATCAGTCCATATGCACTTCATTTGTTTTGAATACTGTATCAAAAAGTGCAATCACATGTTTGTGTACCAGTTTTTTCATGGTCAGTCTTTACATTGTATCGTTGTAATTTACATATTTGACATCGACATGTTTTGTCTATATGGTATCATATTACCACCACACAGCCATCTGTCCACTGGCTATCAGGTAAACCAATCTTGTGTATTCATTACATGAAAAATATTTAATCCTTCATGATTAAGGTATATGTTTGAATATGTGTACTTCTCTGCAATACATTCCTCAATAACTTTATCAGATGATCCAGGGATACGTTATTATCATGAAATGTTTCAAAATATCACATTGCAGGGTGGAACGGGCCGATGTATTTTCATTTCGGAACAATAGCCAGACATTCGATATCCCCTGATTCTATTGACTGATTGACTGGGTTAAAGATCTTTTGTACCGTGTATTTAACTCGAGACATCTGGCTCGGAGAGGTTCGCTACTTGGAGCGATCGTATCGAACGCACTCCAGACACCACGGAAAAATACCTTTAAATGGGGACAGAGGAGACTATGCAGTCAAGTGACTTAGTATGACGATCGTATCGGAAACTCCTAGGTAGCGATATGTCGTCCCAGGCTGATTTAACATAGGGAAAGAGAGAGTGAAGACGGACTATGGATTACTCAGCGATAAATGATACCCAAAACAACAAAACACAACGTCAGACAGTTTTACCAGACTAAGGGATGTTATGGACATGTGCTTCAAACAATGAATTCTTTTATCATTTTGGAAATAATTTGTTTCCTTTATCAAGGTAAGTATTTTTTTAACTGTTGAAATATGATGCCATTATCATATAATATTTGCTTGCTTTGTTATCAAGTGTGACATTCGACATTAACAGGAAAAAGTTAAAATGTACACTGTAGGCAGTTTTAGTTAACATACGATAACATGGTACTGTACGTGCCTGCTGATAGCTCTCTTCGTATTCTGTTTCCGTTTTGGAATTAATCTTTTTCTTTTATTAAGATAAGCATTTAGGAAAATGTTAAAATCGATGTCACCATCATATATTACAGTATTAGCATGTTGTTTTTATACATTTCGGCCTTTTTCGACCATCAAGAAAAAGGCAAAAACCCTCATTAATCCAAGTTGTCATTTTACATAAATTACCGTGGTACATTAAGCTGACAGCTCTTTTCTTGTTCTACTGTTGACCGCTTCAGAACATGAATAATTAATTTTCTCATTACAAGAAACTATTTAGCTCTAAAAAGGGGAAAAAGAGCGACCGTATTCTACTAATTGACGTTCATTCTTTTTGACAAATCAACACGAATATAAAAGTACATGGAGTCTAATACTGGGCTTTAAATGTTTGGATTTCAATCAAACAATGATTTAAATTAGAATATGTACAATATACACTATAAATTATGCTTGTTTTCTTGAAAATGGACAAAAATGGCTTTTTTGATCGAAAACGATAATAGTGGTGATACAGTGGATTCTTCGTCCAACTGGACTGGTTAATACAACTGTACAATGCAATTCCTTAAGTACACACACAGAAAGGCACGCTAACCTTCTTACACGGATAATAAACGTGATACAAACGAATCTATTATTTGATCGGCTTAATACCTTTCCTTTGGAATAAACCACATACCTTTCATTAAAGACTTTAACGGATTTTTTTTAAAATATTACGTTGATGCTTTTAATGTATTTATACCTATATATATCGAACAAAAAAAACCCAATAATATAAACATTCATATAACTCCTTTGTGCGAACATTGTTCTGATACCTTATTTGCAGCATATTTCCTGATGATATACAACGGTTTAAACACACTTGTATGTAAGATCATTGCATACGCTACACTAGTTTTCATGTATAGCCAATATTAACTAGATGTGGTGATCACAGTCTAACATGGATCGAGCGTAAAACGTAATTATTTCAGTATGATTTGTTGTTATGTATAAAGTCCAGACACACCAATTATATTGTGGATATTGTAACAACTGAAACTGAAGGTTGAACCGGCAATTGATTAGACATGGATCCTAGCAGGTTTTACTAGACCCAGCTATAACTGTATTGATAACGCGTATAAACATCTATGAGTCGACAGACAAACTGGTGTAATGCAAACCCTAATGAAATTAACTTATATTGACGATTTCCAGTGTAACAGAAATTATCTTAAAATGCATTTAAATTTAAATTACTGTACACAAACACAATTGATGGAAGTTATTTGTTTTTTGTACATGCCAGAAGGAAATTAATTGAATGACACCAAACTGTCTCTTCCTTGATAGATTTGTATTTTCAGCTAATGGCGCTCAATTATTTAGTCTAAGTTTCGCGATGTGTAACTGGCGATGCTTCAATGTCTCGCAATATTATAGAAAGACATTAATCTTTATTTATTTTTTAATCGAATGAGCAACAAGTTTTTGATTGGATAAATGTCTTTTGTTGGATAACCTCGCTATTTCTCGTATGTGGTATATACTGTTTTCTAGGTCGATATATTTTCGCTATAATATCAGTTTAGATTACGTCAATAGTGAATCAAACAAATAAAACTACATGTTCCATTCATAAAAAAAATAAACAAGTTTAGATATGGTACTATTTGTGTTGGACACACATGCTGGCACAAGACGACGGTTTCCATGGTTACTGTAGAGCTATTTTAAAACGTTCACAATGATATGTCACAACCTTGATATTGGTAAATGGCACATCACCCGGTCTCATAATTATGATTATGGGATAAGCAGAGGTGCTAAGAGAGACACCACCTGAACGAAAGAGGAGGTAGGAGAAAATAAATAATATTTTTTATAAGTTAGTTCTTCGATGGAGAAAGCCAAACAAAGTGCAAACTGTACTGCACCATATGACCATGTCATCTTTATAGGGATCATAAGTGGTACAAAATGTCTGAAGATTGAAGAAAACATGACTAAATTATTCTGAATCTTAGGTAGAATACAGCGGAGAAGGGAAGGGGACAGTAAAACCTTTCTACCGTTACATTTTCAACTTTTTGCGACAACGGATAATTTATTGTTAAATTCGTGTTGCATGTAAACCCAAATATATGACTTTATTATTTATTTTAAAAAAACAACAAAAAACATGTCGTAGTAAAGTAGAATATATCAATATTATATCAACTCTCGAGGACCGCCAGACTCAGTAACGCAAATCATGGACAACTCAAAACAAGTTTGAATTAAAGCGTTTTCAATGACATGAAATCTTGAACAAAATCTCCATTTATAGGGATGCAAAGGGATCGTCTAGAGAGGTGACACACACTTCTGAACTAAACACATCTTTCTAGAGTAAAACAGAACATGTACCGCAGAAAGGTAAAAGATAAAATAAAAACTCACAGATCAGGATAGTAGGAAACCTGAAGACAGGGTAGCAATACTATCAGATATTACAAGGTACCATCAGGTTTGGTGTCGGCAAAAGTAAGGTTATATTGTAGCTATCTTAAGGTGGTGGTGACGAAAATAACATTAAACATTGAAGCTAACAGGTCGTTGATTTAGCTGACAGTGTAATAACCAGTGTGGCGTTTCCGTTCGAGGATTGTGTAACAGAAACAATCTCCAGACAAACATTGGCAATGTAATTCTATATTTTGATTTTATTTTGATAACACTGAATGTAACACCGCGGTGGATTTGATTGAAGTATTTCGTTCGATTTAACGGAACATAGCACACACAATTCGGTTTGATATGAAAACTTGTTGATTTATTTTGACACGGGAATTCGAAGTATTGGTTGATAAACAAATCAGAAACCAACGAATTGTGTATATGATACTATTAACAGCACTGTTTTGAATTAGAAAGTTCACAAATAGTTACAACAAATACTAATATACTTGTACAACAATATTTATCATTGAAACGAACAATTGTGTTCACCTATTATCATCATGTGTTGATTTACTGATACAGAAGTCTTTTGTTCTGTACATACGCTATGTTTTCGTGAGTATAACAGAATCACAATTCGACCTTAATAAAACACCTGCTTTTAATCCTGTTACATAAGCGTCTCTACTGGTAGCTGTATTGTGTTAATCTACATAATCATGTGTTGATTGACTTATATATATTTGAAACACAATGAAGACAACATTGATATCATTTTCAACAAAGCATCGATTATGAAATATTGCTTTATCTTTAGACAACTACTTGGCTGTTGTACCGTTGTCATACTTTAAATAATACAATAAAACTTTGAATTTGTATGGTTTATACTTTGGTAAGCTCTCTTCAAAAACATTTTCCAATTTTAGACAAAATGTTCTTTGCTCATGATCTCTTCTTAATGCGATAGTTCTACTTTTCCCTGTCAAATGTCAAAACAATGTATCGATAAAACATGTTAGTATTTTGCTGTGATGCCAGTGAAAAAATTACAGTTGGTCTCCAGTCCATGTGCTGTTTAATGCAGCACTGAATTCTCTCATACATTTCATGTTCTCGGGCTAAACTGAGTCTGTCAGTTAAATACATGTTTTTTCGGTTCCGTTAAACTTCACACGTAAGCTAGAGGATATTACACGTGGTTGTAAACTTTGGACATTTTCCGATTCTTCAAGTCCTTTGTTTGACGACTTTTATGATATACAAGCATGTAAGATATCGATTCTCGTCCCAATAATAGATAAGTGCTCCATTATGGTTAGTGGGATGCTATCCTGCAGGAATACCTCACGATAACAAGGATCGGCAGAGAAACAAAAACACAAAATAGAAAACCGCAGAGATAAAGTTAGAGAAATGACACGGACACTTGCACAAGATCAGTTAAAATTTCAGTGAACTGGTAAAAGATAAAGAAACTTCGGTTTACGTGTTTAACAAGAACTGGTCCATTTAACAAGGATATAAAACTGTCGCTAACGCACGGAGATATCCGAGAAACTCTCGTTTAATACAATAGTATACATCATCAAACTAACAACTAATCTACACAACCGGCACCTTCACCAGTCGTCAATCCTAGATGGGTTTTTATATATTTGTCAATTTTACCATGCGTTATAAACTTTCGAACGCTCTGTACAACACACGTCAAAAAGATTACAGTTTTACACATAACGTATACAATAACTCGTCAAAGTCCCTTATACAGCAGCTACATATAGACATACTGCAGGCTGGGAAGGTTCTTCATTGAAATACAAATTATTACTTTTCCTATATGTGGTCAAAAACCACTTTACCGTATTATTAATATGTCCGTAGCATGTAAGATAGAATTAAAACAGTCCATAGTATTACCAGGTGTGGCTAAATATTTTATTTATAATAATATATATTATCTACTTGTAATCAGATATGTTCATGAAGATCGTCTGAATCGTCGATATGGGTTGTTTTTCTGTCCTTCCCTGGTATGCTTGACATAGCAATGATTTGCTATACATAATATAGCCAAACATTTGTTTTAAAGAGTACACGTGACAACTATAATAACTATATATAACTAATATGAACTTGGTCCTCAATAAACATATTTTAATTAACAGAGCCTGCACACGATACAAATGAACTTTTTTACAACAAGAAAGAATCATTTGACCTATTGACCTTCGGCCCTAACCAAAATATTAGTGAATATGTTCGTATGTAGGATGTATACTGATCCTATGCACGCGAAAACACGAACGACGTTTGTACTTTTAAAGGTTTATCTGGCTAACCTACCTTAAATTATGTATGGACGGAATGTTTAAGGAAAAGTCAAGA